ATTCTCTCATCTTTTCTCTCAACTTCAAGAACTTCAAGGCTTTCTTCAGGGATTTCTTTCTTCAATTGGTAAGTATATTCATCATTCATATAATTATTACACTCCATTCTACTCAAATCATTGATATCTTACACAAATTCCATCTTATTCGGTGTTAGATTCTCGAATCATCAAGACATCTTCTTAGTGTTCTTGGGTTGAATACTTCCTCTCTCTCACTTTCATCTACTGAAACCACATAAGGTGAGTTCATACCCCTACATTTACATGTTTTTCTTAAGTTTTAAGGGGGGAATACAAGTAAAATCATCAAGAACACAATTAAACTTTTTCTATCAGATTACATCAGAAAAGATGAACTTCGATCACGGACTGTTTTGGTCAACTTAAATATTTTAGTTTTCAAAAATGTTCCAGGTGCAAGTAGTTCAAACTCTTAGCTTTAAAATGGCTACTTGCACATCTCCATATGATTTTTCTACAATTTATGGTGGTTTTTACAAAACTGCCTATCATTTCAAAGGCAAACCCGGACCAGTCTGTGATTATGAACATTTTCACCTCTGTTAGAGATCACTAAAAATCATGATAAAATTTACGAACAAACTAGACTCATATTCCAAACTCTCAGAATTTGCGGATTTGGATTTAGAGCTTTGATGATTTTTCTATAAATTTTCTAAGAACAGTAACAGAAACTATATACAACAAAAAGTTGCTGTCAATTTCATTTCACCTTGTAACATGTTGAGCAAGGTGTATATCTTTATGTGATTATATGTTATTGCAATATATGACATTTTATCTTAATATTTAGACACACATCAGTTTACAAATGGATTTGGACATATAAAATATAAAAATAACAAGTGATTATAATCAAAGTACAACCGATACATTCAAACATTTAATAAACTATTTTGAATATAGTTTGCATACATTACTACGTACTACCCTTGGTTGATAAACTATAATAGGTATAGTTTATGATACATTACATAATACATACATTTAAAAAGGGTACATTTATACAAAGGATATTTTCATTAAGCAAGGTACGGCCATAAGGTACCAAGTTTTCATAACACGTAATTCCGTTAATGACTTTGTGAGACATTTACTTCAAATTACCATTAAGTCCTGTATTGTAACCAGAGTCTCCTTGAGGGAGAGCGTGATAGTTGTGTATAGATCTATATTGGGTTTGACAAACCCACACCTAAACTGCATGCAACAGTTAGACCGATAGGTCTGGGGTGACAAATGTCATAACATTTCCGACGCCTGAAGAACGTCGTTTTAGGCAACCTTGGTCATAGTATGGTTATAATAAACTCACATAAAGTATTAATAAACATTGGAATTTACGGGAACTTCATTAAAATTTAACGAGTTTATGTCGATTTAAACTTGCATTGTTTTACTATAAATATGACAAATTACTTGTACATTTCGGTCTTTGGGTTTTAAGACTACATTTACACACTAAGGAAAATATTGGATTTTCTAACACAAATACTACTTTTACAAACGAAAGGCTTTTAATAATACCAAACAAAAGCTTATGAACTCACCAACCTTTGTGTTGACACTTTTTCAAACAACTTGTATTCTCAGGAAATCATTAAACAGGTAACCAAGTGCTTTTGAGGATGGGGCGCTAAGGCGTCTACTATTTCATATTTTGTCAACATATTGTAATTGATTCGTAAACATGTAATTCATACAATGATGTCACTTTTTCAATTATATATATGTTGGTTGTGTTTGCTTCAATTACTATTATAATTGTTGTTATGATACTATACATGAAGTCCTCCACCCCCAGACGTTTCCGCCATCCTTGGTTTGGGGGTGTGACACTTGAACCCTTCGATTGATGCCTTGGCATATAGATACCCCAAATTTTTATCCCACTGAAAATTAAATCCTACACATAAACACTCGCGATTCCCAACTCGAGATCTCACCCAAAAATCACTTGATACTCAATTCATAAACTGAGATCCACGGATCTGCACTTACATTTCACCCAAACCTTTTGATTCACAACAACCCTTCACTAGACTGAGATATAAAGGTTCCCAACCATCGCTGAGGCTACCAGTCTCGCACCTGGTCCAACCACCAAGTTCCCAAGAGTCCAAATAACAAGGCTACCTAGCCTATAAACCCCTCTGTGCCACACACTGATCACCACTTGATCTTGCATCTCAAGATTCAAAACCTTGACCCAATGGCCTCCGCCAAGGCCCACCTGTATTGCCATAATCACACGGGCCTCACCCACGGGTCCCACCCAACTATACCACGGAGCGACCTCGCCTATGGGTCCCACCCATCTAGAGCTACACAGGCCCGACTCCGTCTCGGACCCCAATGGTCCTCAACCTAAACAGATAATTAATCTTCGGTAATGCTGACCGGCGTGCCCAAGGCACTAACTGATTTCCCCTCCACGCTCACGACTATTACTAATAATAGTCTACCTCGAACTGGTGAATGCTACGATCCCATCGCAGTCTTACAACACATCAACCAACCATGGTTACCACCCATGGCCTTACCGCACCCTAATCATCACAATTCCATGCATCCTGAGCCGAATCCTGCATCCAACTGCATCCCGACAGATGTTCGGGACATACTTCGAATTCCGAAACCCTCAACCGGGACTCAACCACAAGCCTGCTATGCACAAAAAAGAGGACGTTGACCAACGCTTGGAAATTTACTGAACTCCCACTTACACAACCTTAATCTGAACAACCACTTGGGTCGTCTCTCTCTCCCTGGCCAGGATGTGAAACTTTCCCTAGTTCCACACCCTTCCTAACTTCCAGAAATCCGAATCGATCCTCCCCCACTTGGGTTCGACGAAGCTCTCTCTCACCTCTTAATTCTGATGGATCTCCGACCCGTCTACCACAAATAGCATGAACTGCCTATAACCTGTGCTAATCAATACCAACGTTCCATTGCTAGCCAAACTCAAAGATCGCCCAACTCCTGAAACCCTGAAGAATGCTCTTGAAATCTTAGCAAATATGATAATTCAAATCACCTCCCATGATACCATACCAATTCCCCGAGTTCTTATGCTGACAACTAAAAACCATAACCCTTATCCGGAACTGACGAATCTTCACGCCAGTTTCCATTCTCAAAGTACCACTGAACACTAGTACGCTACACATACACCTGTGTGCGCCCCGCGTACCCGACTAAACCCTAAAACCACCAAACTTTTGAAGGTCATAACTTCTTCGTTGCAAGTCTGTTTCCAACGAACTTTATATCCATGAAAAGTTGACGAGAAGCCCTACACTTCTATCAACTCACCTCCGCCTAAGAACTTTCCGAACAAAAACCCAAAATTCATAAAGGATCGAGATATCAAATTTAGATTATACCCTTGGGCTCCGAAACACAAACGAACACCCGGATCATTTAGACTATAATACCCACATCTAAAAAGGGCTAAATCCTTTCTTCCCCAATGCCCAAAGCCTTATGATGACTGATGACCGGGCCACGACCTCGAACAATGAAACGATTCGAAACCGAGTGTTACAGTCACGACCCGAAGGTAACTATGAAGTGGATCATAAAAACAAACTGAGTTCTTCGAGCTAGCGGTTGTCAGGATGATCAAAGGGTTACTTATGTCTCTCAAGTATTAAGGGGTCAAGCTCTCACTTGGTGGGAGAGAGTATGCCAGACATTGGGTGATGATGCTGAAGAGACTATATCTTGGAATGAATTTGTTCAACGGATAAAGGCTAAGTATTGTGATCCTCATGACATTGAGAAAATGTTTGATGAGTTCTTCGACTTGAAGAAAGGAGATTTAACTGTGGAAGAGTATGTGAAAGAGTTCTCAGATAGAATGTCGTTTATTGGTGATGTTCTTCCAACTAAAAGGGGTCGTATTAGCCTTTTTATACATTACGAAGTGTTTTTAGACATTTTAAAGGAATAAATATTTTTATACGAATAAATAGCATTTTATACAATTTTTTATATGTATAAATCATGTTATATATATATATATTATATATATATATATATATATATATATATATATATATATATATATATATATATATATATACATACAAAAACGTTTTTAATACAAATAAATACGTATATATACGTATAAAATCATTATACATATATAAATATGTTTTGAAAATATATAAATACATAAAAATAAGCGTACAAATATATGTAAACACACTTTTAAAATGAAATAATAATAATTATAATGATAATAATAATAATAAACCTGCATATTAGATAATAAGTATGATTTTTCAATTCAAAAAAATCCTCTTGGTTTGGTGGTAAAGCTCTTGCATATGTGGGGGGAGGAGACTTGAGTTCGAAACCCCTCAGACTCAAGTTTTCGTTGTTGCTTTTTTTTCTTGAAAGTCAACAAGTTTCTCCTTCCATGTGTCAAGTCCGACTCCAACTTTACCAATCAGGTAAGTGGTAACCGCCTATCCCTGTAAAATCTGGCTAGGGAGTAAGATCGAATCTATTTTCCTTTTTTTCCTTGAAAGGCAGCATGTTTCTCCTTTCACGTGTCAGATCCGACTCCAGCTTCGCCAATCAGGTAAGTGGTGACCGACTATCCTTGTAAAATCTGGCTAGGGGGTAAAATCGAATCTATTTTCCGGTATCTTTGGGTATTAACGAACAAAAAAATAGATTTTGAACATAACCAAATATTTTGTATAAAATTGGGGGGTTTTATAGCAATAACCCAATTTTAATTAGCTTATTTGGTTGCTCTAATCAAAATACTGAAATATAGGGGTGGTAAAGTGTATATATATCTGAGTCTATTTTGGTGAAACAAGAGGCGTTGCCATTTTCTGAAATCATTACAACACGCGCAAATTGACACACCACCTCGAAGCTACCAGAATCAGTTATTCCGTTGCAAATCTTTCCCAACAAACTAACAGTAACAGACCTTTGTTCCGGACCTCTTAATGGCGGAGACGCCGACGACGGCGTCGGAGATCAACACCGAGATCAGCACTGCGCCGTTACTCACTCAGCAGAGCACACACGAGTCACTGTTTGGAGGAGCTAGAACCTTAACGACACTCTCCATTTTCTTCGGTCTTTTGTCTGGGCCTCGTGGAGACTCGTTGAAAGTGCGCGAGAGTGCAGCGCAGCAGTTGGAGAACTGGCGAGATGATTGGGGCTACTCGTTGCCGGTTGTTGCTATAGACACGACGTGGAATCTTGCCGTCGTGGTGGTTTCGATAGCTATGCTGTTTTGGACTGCGCGGGAACAGCCGAATATGCCGGTTAGGGCTTGGATCTGCGTTTACGCGCTGCAATGTGTGATGCATGTAGTCCTGGTGTTGCTGGACTATAGAAGGAGGAATCGGAGGGCAGCGACGGCTAGCAGTGATCCGAGCGATAGAGATCGAATCAGCTTTAGGAATTCCAGCGGTTCTGATGTAACGAGGTCAGTTTTTAATCATGAATTTCACTTTTAGTTTGAAATCAGTAAGTTTATTTTGCTTTCCAGAGTGTACGTAACTAATGTCTATGAACATCTTTAGCGTATAATTATCTAAGATATCAAGATTGACTGCTTGAGCAAAGAACAATTCTGAACATTACGTATATGAGAACCAAAGTATAAGATGAAAACGATAAACGTCTTGGAAGAAATATTCAGTTGAAAATTCTATCAGAAGACGTCCAAAGCATCAAATCACATCCATGGATGATGTTCTATATACCAATTAGGAAATTTCGTACTCTATGCAGTAGGGTAGAAAATTCTCTAAGTTGTAAACTGTTTCTAAATTACCATGGAAAACAAGTGTGGCTTATTAATTGCTGCATTACATTTTGGAAATTGCAGTGCTGAGAAAATATGGGAAACTTTTAATAAGATTTTCCAATATCTGTGGTGGCTGGTTGCCTTCTGTTGGCTGATCCCCAATTTTGAAATGCATAGTGCTCCACATCTGTTCTGGTATGTCTTGAACCAATATAATCTTGTAAGTTTTAACAGAACCCTATGGCTTTTTTTTAACTTTCTTTCTTTCTCTACCTCTGTTATGAACAATGGCAGGTTGACTCTGACATTCATGGTTATTGACGTGTTCTTGGCTGCCATTGGTTTTCTTCTTAAGGGAGTGATAACAGGGCTTGCTGTTTCTTTTTGCTTACCTTGCGTCTTGTCCTTTCTTGATTTCATGGGTTGCCAGGTGAAATTTGTTTCTTAAATTTCCATTTTTGGTTTTGTTTTCAAATAATTTTGACAATGATGTTATATTATAATTTATACACAGGGAGGTGCATCAGAAGCAGAGATCAGTGTCCTTCCTAAATACAGATTTGTAGTGCACGCTGATGATGGGGGTAGAATGGTCCCTTTTGAAACAAATGATCCGGATTTTTCTCGTGTACATGTTCTTCCACTCGAGGAAGAGGTAAGTCTATTCCCAACCATAGAAATGTTTGCTTAGATCTGACAGCATTGGAATCCGAGATTCCATTCCATCATGTGTTTGGATTAGAGGATTTGGTTGCCAAATGAACGGAATTCAATCCTTCAAATTCCATATTTGATGGATTTCATAATTCTAACTTTTATTAAAAGACCAAAAATACTCACTAAATAAAAATAAGAAATTCATGGTGTGATTTGTTTTGTAAATTGTAAACTGTAGGATTGCTGTATATGTCTGTATCCATATGAAGATGGAACAAAGCTTCATTTGCTTCCATGCAACCATCACTTTCATGTGAAATGCATCCTCAAATGGCTCAAGATTACTACCACGTGTCCACTCTGCAGTCACACCATCTGCCAACGTGTACAACTCTGAAAACCCGCCACAGTTTTCATTTTTATATCGCTAAGTGTACAGGAAAAACCATGTATGGAAATATAATAGCTTTTCTTTTACTAACAAAATAAAGTACGCCATTGTTTTGTTTGCTATAGAATCTCTGTAAATGTTGGAACGGATACCTTGTTCTTGTTTTTGGGAGGAAGGAGAGGTTATATGGATCAAATGACAAAACTTTACTTCTTGTAAAATTCGTTTAAAGGTTTGAAGTAGCAAATAAAGTACTAGATGTTTGTGATTAGAATCTATAGGTGCTAAGCTAAGTAATTTGGATTTTTTTGGATCACTGTACAAACCGGGTCGGATCCTAACTTGAAGGTTTTTCACAGGCTAAAATCCCCCAAATGTAAAAATATTAACCGGTTTTTGGTCTTGAAGTTTTTTAAAAAGGGGATGTTTTTCATCAAGGGTCAAAATATATTGGACTTTAATGATAACAATCCAAGAATATTAGTTGAATAAAGTTGGTTCACATACAAAAAGAGAGCATATATGCTTCTGATTTAGGAAATATTTTCAAATTTATAATAAACGTGGGTGCGTCTTCTAACTTCATGGTTTCAACTCTTCTATTATTGCAAGTTTGTAACACGTTATGTAACAGGAATTTTCCAATCTATAACATAAAGTGAGTACATTATTTTTGTCATCACCCATCATAATCACTTTATTTTGAGGGATAAAGGGTATCATATAGCATAACTGAAACACGAATTTAAGAAATTAACTATTAACTGGGTACTAAAAAAATCAGATGTGGATTCTCATTTGGAATGTGGGAGTATAGCCTCATCCTCATGCCTTTGAAGTGACAACATTGGAAAGTGATGGTGATATCACCAATTATTTAGTCGCTATTTTTTTTTTTTTTGACAAAACTACAAAAATAGTCCCCGTATATATACCCTTTTAATTTCTTTTATTTTAGTATTAATATAATAATCTCTCTCCTAAAAAGAACACACAATTAATGCTTGACGGTATATAAATGGTTTTATGTAAGTAAAATAAAAATTTTATTGGAATCTTTTTTCTCGAGTTGAAACTATCGTGTGCAAAAAATTAAGTTCTTACAAATAAATACTCAATACCCAAGTAGGGTTATAAAATAGATCACGATCAATTGCTTTATGGGTCGTCTTATACCTTATGAACCTATGGGTGCTATGTTGGATTTGAATCAAATTTCGGATCAATCTATGGGCCTGTTTGTTACCGTCTTGACTGGGACCGAGTCAGCGGCTGACTCGGTCAGACAAGATGTGTTTGATAGAAACTTTCTCAATCAGAACGTCTGGCCCATATCACTTTCTCAGTCGGACTTTGTAATATAGCTGACTAGAAAAATTACACTCATACCCTCTATTTGCTTTCTTCCCAACCTAAAAGAGATACCAACAAGGAAAATTGGCCGCCAACATCGACAGCTCTCCATCGCATCTCCATCGCCGACGTCCCTTCCTCAGTCCGACTATCGACCACCATCCCTCCGTTCGAGCTCCAGCGAGCAAGCATCGATTTCTGCACCAATAGTTCCGATTCTGATAAGGTAAGCATCGATTTTTCTTTCATCTTCTCATAAATACTTCCGATTTCTGCCATCATCGACTAGCAAGCATCGATTCTGCATCAATAGTTCCGATTTTTCTTTCATCTCCTCTGTTATCCAAGGTTTGTGGGTAAAGGTGGAAGTCGATCTGAGTCGATTTTTCAATCTCTTTCAGATCGTCACAGTTGTCGGATATCCGACGACCATTCTCCTTCTCCGCCACCACTAATGAACCTTCGTTGCTTCTCCTTATTCTCTGATGTTGGAGACGAAGAAGGCGGTGGAAGGGTTCGGGTTTTTCTTCCCCTTTACTGCCCTGGTTCACCCCACCTCTCCATATTCTCTAATGTCGGAGGCGAAGATCGGAGATATATGTTCTTTAATATTTACTCCCCTGTTCATCACACATACGATCAGATTCTAAGGGGAGGGGACTGATCATGGATTGAAGGATTTCTTGGAACTACCAGCTACAAACGCACATAAGGGTGTAATCCCCTGTTCGCTAAACACATATACATACACGGAGACATGTGAGAATAAAAGGAAGGGTTCTTGATTTCCTGCACAGAAAAAGGGACTTGCTTCTTCAGTTCTTTCTGTATCGGTTCTTTGTGGGTGTTGGAAGAATACACCGAACAAACTATTGATCGATTTAGATCGGAAGGAGGAGGTCACAGCTAGACTTACGAAGACATAGAAAAATACTCTGGGAAGCATTAATTAAATCATATGGATTGATACATACTTGTTCAAAGTTGTCTTCAAATTTTGGGGTTTGTTAAAATTTTTTGGTTTGTTAATGTGTTTATCCAGATTTAGGCTACGTGGTATCACGAGTGGGTTATATGCGAAAAGAAAGCCACGTAGACTTTTTACTATTTCACAACCAACCCACCAGATTGTGGAAATGATGTTCACCGGTGGGTTGGTGGTGATGAGGCAAAAGGAAGAGAGAGATAAAGAGGGACGATGATGCTACCAATATTCTATTGGCTGTCTTCTTCCGTATTCACAAAGACGTCACACCCAAACCACCAGGGCTGGGGCGGTGTTCATGCGTCCTTGGCCCCTCCACCTTAGCTTTTCACGTGTGAAGAGGTATCCACTCCGGATAGCCTTATATGGATTTGTTCAAAACAATGGTGTAATTGCCTTATATGGATTTGTTCAAAACAATGGTGTAATTGGTAGCGGAGAAAGAGAAAGGTGGGCCTGCTTTATTTATAATTACATTAATATTAAAATAAAGGGTAAATTACATGGATGGCCATGTGTACTGTGATATGCGATTGAAAATGCCCCACTGTTTTTTTTTAACCCTGCGTTGATTTCCCAGCTCAAGAGTCAAGAGTCCCAAAGTGGGCTTCATACTTGTTAAAATGGACTGTTGAATTCTCTTCGTGGGCTGCTAGAAAATATGGAAGTTGGGCTGTTATATGGGCTGCCATGGCAGCTTTCTGCACTTCTGTTCAAGAGCCAAAAAAACATATCAAAACTTGTCCGAATTTATTTATTTTCTGTAAGATTGAAGATCAACTATTTGGGAAGACGTCCATAAAATTTCAGTTAAATTGGACAACGTTTGCCCCTCCGTCTGATCTTTTGAAATAAGTCGTGCAAAGCTGTCAAAATCCGAAAATCTCTTTATGTCGCTTCATTTTTCTTGTTGCTCACGGATTTTGCTACAGGACTTCAATTGCGGTTGCAAGGTATTTGATGTGACTTTAACGATGCTCCAAAATACCATCTTACTCGTACAAATCTACATAAAAATAACTTAAACGAATAAAAATATTCAAAACAATAAATCTTATGATTTAATGCAAAAATATATATGTTAAAAATGCTAAAACTAAAAGAAAAAGAATGATAAAATATATACATAAAATTAGCTATCGGTTACAACTAGGGGTGAGCAAAAACCGAACCGCAAACCAAAAAAACCGAAAAAACCGCATAAACCGAAACCGAAATGAAAACCAATGATGCGGTTTTTAGTTTTGCAAAAACCGAAAATACTCGGTGCGGTGCGGTTTCTAATCTCGCAAAAACCGCAAAAAACCGAACCGCACCGCATATATATATATATATATATATATATATATATATTAAGTGTTGATATTTGTAAGAACCAATAACTTATGACAATTAAAATTTCTATAAATATAAATATCTATCTTATCTATCGGAGGATGATTGTATATTTTTAAGCATACATTGAGTGGTAATTACAATAACAACTAATGTTTATGACATTTTTTAACATTTAAATATGAAGAGTACTAGTGATGATAGTATCATTTTTACGAATACATTAATTGATATTATCGCATTTACCTGTGAAACAAATATTATATTAAATTCGTATTATATTCAAGTATTAAAAACATGTTGGATGAGTGGTTATGTAATTTGATTTCAAACTAAGAGATGGTGGTATCAGTTTATTTCCAAAAAATGTTTAGCACTCCTCATCTGAGTCAATGTAACTCGCTGAGTTACTTGAGTTTTAGTAAAAAGGCAAAACGAAAAAAAAAAAACTAACAAAAAACCGCAAAAAAAACCGAACCGAAAAAAACCGCAATAAAAACCGCAAAAACCGAACCGCATAAAAACCGAACGGTGCGGTTTCTAAATTTCAAAAACCGAAGTTGCGGTTTTCGGTTCGGTTTTAGCCAAAAACTGCACCGAACCGCACCATGTTCACCCCTAGTTACAACGATGGAACCTTAGCAAGAATCTCTTCTCATAAATAACAAACGATATACTCAAGAGAAATAGAATAATTTAGGCGAAAATGCAAGAATCACATCTCATCATGTGAATTAGTGGAAGTCCACAAAGCTATGATGTCTGATGGAAACACTTAGCATGGAACTTGGTTTCGACAATCAAATGCATAACTTTTTCTAGATTTTTTTATTATATATATATATATATATATATATATATATATATATAGATTTGATAAAATAATTTTCAAGTGGGTGGATCAAAGATCTGAGCAGAGCAGTATATAGTGGTGTTTTTAGTTTTGGTTCTACTTGAAATAATTAATGCAATAACAGGTTGAATGTTTGAGGGTTTGGTTTGCGAGATCGAATTTAATTCAGAAAAGGAACTGCAGAGAATATGAGGGATTAGAGATTGAAGGTTTATGGACTCATGAGAAGTGTGAGGTAATTCATTATATCGCCTACTTTCAAAGCGTACGTGAGAGAAAGAGAGCGGTGGGTCCATTTTTTTTTTTTTTTTTTTTTTTTTTTTTTTTGTATTTTTAATTAATAAAAGATTAAAATAAATATGAAAAAAATACAAAATAATAATAATAATAATAAGGCATAACCTTCTTTTCAAGTTTTTTGAACTAAAACCACGAAAAATTTATGATGTTAGACATTCCATGCAAATTGAAAACTTTTTGGACCCTATCTATAGTTTTTGCAAAACTACAAAGACCAATTTTGCATTTTTGTTTTTTAAAAATATGTCTATTTGATTTTTTTTTATTTAAATACTCATTTTTGGTTAAAAACTCGAGAAGTCCATTGACCATATTGGTTATTTGATAAAAGTATTAGTTTTTGGCCCTAAGGCGACGCCTTTAGCCTTTTTTGGTCTTCCTTTCCCCTCAGAAAGTGAGGAACACCTCATCCCGGAAACCAATCTTTGGAGAAATTTGACTATTTGAGGGGTTCTCTGCTCGATCTTATCTTCTTATGCAAATCCTTCGTAGATCCTGCAATACACTTTACAACGTACCACGTCTTATCAAATATCCCACCAACCAGATTTTTGAATATTAAATTTTATTTAAAATCTAATTTACCTCTAAAACTCATATTTTAAAGGGGCAATTGTTATGGTTGAAAATTTTGACTAGAATCTTATGCAGAATTTGAAGTAGCATGCTAACCAAGATCTTGACCAATATCTTGATTGAGATTCCGGAGAACATTCACTCTTATGTTTGCTATTTATTTCATTTATCTATCTGTTCCAAGTCTTAAATATGTCAAGGAAGACCCGGTTAAATCAGAATTAATGTAGAAAACATGGAGAAAAGACATGGTCTCCAAGAATTTTGGGATAAAGGAGACCTGATCAACAAAGATTTCGGGGCAGAAGAGTATGCCGAGATTTAGGAATCCGACTTATAGTCGTTAGTATCTTATGTATAAATAGGCAGCTAAATGTCTCAAAAACACATACAAACACTATTTTCTACTTGTGCTGTGCAACATTACGTTCATCACTTGTACTCATTCGATTGAATTAATTAAATTATCAAAGGCATCCAAATATTCCCAGCTCCCGAGATTTTGTGTTGGCGATCGAACCAAGGATCAAGGCTTTCCTCGTAATTCTTGTGTCTTGCACCTCAGAATCCTGGTTAAGATTCGGAATACAATACCATAACCCTTACTAATTTGGTTGATTATTGCTTTTCATATGTTTGACCAAAACAATTTCCAACCAAAAAATACATTGCAAACAAGAACCATAAGTTGACTTTTTGACCTTTTACTATAACCATAATTTGTTTATTTCATCATGTTATCAAGTGTTAGGTGGTTCGGACTTTGGTTCCCTCACTTTGTGTTTGAGTAATTTAGATCTTAAAAGGGTATGCTTTATGAGAAAAAGAAGAACATACATGATCTTTCGACACCTTCTAATAGACGTCTTTACATCATGGATTTAATAAAGAGGAAAACAGGGCACATTCCAAACATTACGAAGATTGGGAATGAATCAAACTCTCAAAAAAAGAAAATAAAAATTAACATTTAAATATATAGCTTTAAATAAGTGTTTTTACAAAAGACTTTATTCTTCTAACAACACCTGAAAGCATCCACTCTAGGAAGATCTTTCATTAGAAGTTTTTTTTGTGTCACATAAGCGAAATCAAGAAAAAAAAAAGGAAACATGTGACTTTACAATCATATATGAAACCTTAGAAATTATACATTACGTGAAACAACAGGAAATACTGAATTTACAATTAAACGAAATTAAGAATATGGAAAACATAGAACTTACAATTATATATGGAACTTTAGAAGCTAAAATTAGAAAATTTTGGAATCTTAGAAGATGAAATCAAGAATACAGGATGTAGAGCAGGAGATCGGACCGGAGGTTCAACATTGGAGGCCGAAGAGATGGTCGATGGCGTGGAGGTCGACAATAAAACTCCGCCGAATGAATCACGATGCAGGCGCACTGTGTGACGACAGGAGAGGCCTGGTGGCCGAAGATGGAGGTTGGTTTAGAATGCTGGTTGTAGGCGCTGAGTTTATGTAGTTAGGACACGATTTCTTTGAGTTTAATTACAGACCACCCTCTTCGGTAAATATTTTTAAAAATATGCCTAATCAATTATTAATTTTTAAAATTCTCCATTTTGCTTAAAAACTCGAGAAGTCCATGGACCATATTTGCTATTTAATAAAAGTATTAGTCTTCGCCTCTTCGGCCCCAAAGCGACGTCTTTAGCCTTTTTGGTCTTCCTTTCCCCTCGGAAAGTGAGGAACACCTCGTCCCGGAAACCAATCTTTGGACTTTGGAGAAATTTGAGGGATTTACTGCTCGATCTTATCTTCTTCCGCAAATCCTTATTAGATCCTGCAATACACTTTACAACGTATTTGAACTCATCAAAATTTCTCAAACTTGAAGTAATTCGGTCAATGTTTTAGTCGTCGTGTTATGCGAGGGGACATGTTCCAATTCGAGCAAGAGAAGATCAGAAAACGAATTTGATTATCGTTAACTTTGTTCGACTTAAACTGAGGCTTGGATTTGTCATCGCTTGAAGTATAGATTTGCCAATTCTTTGTAAAATCGTCTGGTATGGCGGACGCATTTTCTGCCATTCCGGCGGCCGTGCTTCGGAACTTATCGGATAAGTTATATGAGAAACGGAAGAATGCTGCAATTGAGGTCAGGGTTTTGTTACTTCCATGGAACATGAATTTGTCAATTTTAGGGTTTTTGATTTTGTTGTTGTTCTTTAGGTCGAAGGGATTGTAAAACAGTTGACAGCTGCTGGAGATCATGATAAGATCACTGCTGTGATTAATTTGTTGAGTCATGAGTTTGCGTACTCGGCACAAGCAAATCACCGCAAGGTATCACGGAATCAGCCATTCCTTTTTTTAAACTTCTCGTTGTTAACATTTCGATGTTTAACTTCTTCAGGGTGGATTGATTGGGTTAGCTGCTGCAACTGTTGGATTGAGCGCTGAAGCTGCACAACATCTCGAGGTTTGGGTTTATTCATCTGAATCTGATTATCTTCATGTTGTCTAGTATAACATTATTGATAACATTTATTCATGTATTGAAGTTCTCTCTCCTTTTCTCTTGCAATTTGCCAGCAAATTATACCGCCTGTGATAAACTCTTTCTCGGATCAAGATAGCAGAGTTCGTTATTATGCTTGTGAAGCATTATACAACATCGCCAAGGTGAGACTGAATTATGATTTCATCAAACCAAGTAACCAGCCCCTTTAATACAACACACTTTGAGCTTATTTCATGCCTTTTTGCAGGTTGTGAGAGGAGAGTTCATTGTACACTTCAACAAGATATTCGATGCATTGTGTAA